AAGGATGAATTTAGACTCAATGAGACTTTTAAACTACTCCTACTAAATGAAAGCAGAGCTATTTAACTAGAAACTACTAAAGAGCATCTAGTAAAGTATTCATGCGGTTTTCCTTCCTACCAGTGCTGCTGACTCTGGTTCGGACTCCCTGTGGAAGCAGTGAACTCTGGGTTTCTCTGATTGGCTGCTGGCTTCCAACGAGATCCAGCCGGCCTGCAGCAGCAGCCCAGGTCAGGCGCATGAAGCAGGCTACGGTCGATGTGAAGTCGCCTACTTCCATGGTCTAGAGGGGCAACAAGAAAAGTGCTCTAACAAAATAAATCATTTCTTATCTCTGCAGGAAAAGTTTGAGGCTGGTACCTGAATGGCGACGCGAGCAGCAGGAATGATTTCCTCCACTCGTATGGACGAGCGCTCAGACAGAGACATCTGCCTGTAGGAGGACTTCTCCGGGGTCCCGCAGAGGGACAGCTGTCGTCCCGTCCTTCCCGCGTTACGGAACGGCCGGGACGACAGCGCATCGCCGTCCCTGATGACATCATCATCCAGTGCTGTCGGCATGCTCTGACCAACCAATAGGAACCTGCAGAGATCAGACCGTTTAGCGGGAAAGTGAGGCATAATATCATCGGATAATTCATAATTAATAGGGCTGGGAATTAAATCGATTCAATCTTCCAAAAATCGATTTCATTTTTATTTTCAGATTAGATCGTTTCCAAGTCGATCTGGTCAAATCGAAAATTGGATTGTCGGTACTAAAACCTTTTTTTTATAATTACCCGAATTACATTTCCCAATGCAAGGACAACGGGAAATGTAATTTTATAAAAATCAATCTTTGGTTATATAAATATTTAATTAGAGATTAAAATTAATTAGAAAATCAATTTAGTTTAAAGCAGCTCTAATAACCAGATTATTATGATAGAAGTTTAGATGAGTTGCAAAAGCTTAATAGTTCATAGAGCTTGTAGTAAGCAGTGCTTTGTTTAAAGAGGTTGGCTGCAGCTATTTCTGTTCAGAGTTTTTTCCTCTCTCCCGCTGCTCCCGTGTCCCCGCCTCTCGGTGTGACATCATCAAATCTGTCGCTTTGAGACATCTAATTTGCGATCGCATTTCACTGATGTACAGAGTCGCTGCACGGAGGAGGAGAGACACACAGCAGCACTCGGTGATTCTTAAAGGAATAGTACACCCAAAACATGATTAGCCTTCATTTTCTACTCACCCCCATGCTGAACAACACTCTGGAGTACTTTTTTGATAT